ACACACACACACACCGCCCACCCCTGCCTCTGGATGAAGATGCCTCCGCTGTGTACTCGGCAGCCTAGAGGCACTTTAATCAGGCTCGATATACAAACAGCTGCTAGGCAGGCAGGAAAGCAGCTAAACATACTTGACTGGTCAAAAAGCCAGTAAATTACATTGACTGAATGACACGTGTGATTAAAGGAATCCATGCCGCTTTTACCTTTTCTCTGCGCTTCACACCTACAGCGGCACGGCGACGAGAGCCGGCAACTCCCACCCCGCTAATTACCATTATCAGTGAAATGGTAGGGTTTGACTCATTAGTTCCATGTGCATTTAATTAGAGGCAGGCTGAAATTGGATTTAACTTATTACTTTTTCATGGATCACTTTCTTGTCATCACTTCAAATTGGATTGCAGCCCCAGGTAACTAATTATGCCAGCCGCAGGATCAGGAGTGGAGAAATAGGTAATTAGGAACAACACTGTCGGACCCTCGCTGATAGTCCACCAGCACCGAGGTGGGAGAAGAGGGGGGGGGAGGGGGGATTTGAAGCTCGTTTGAGGCGTTGCGCTCCGAGCCTCGCTGGTTAACTACAACCTCATTGGGAGAGATCCCAGGTAGGTATCCGCCTCCTACAGGGGATTATGTGGCATTCAGCTGGGATGAAGATGTTGTGTCAACATGGAGTCTCTGCTATCAGTGTAAAGCCCAGATTATGCTTGTTTCCCATCCAGGATTGTGTCTGAGATTGGCCTTCATTATTCATGTCACCAGTACAGTGTGAGGTATGGCGTGCAGCCAGCTGAAGTTCCCTGTGTGGACGCTGCTTGAATGACATTGACTGCTTTCTGACTGTAGTGCGTCTGCGCTGATTGTAATGAGAACACATGAACCGCCAGATCCAGAGCTGATAGTCTAGAGAAGGGTAGGGAAATGATAACGTCACTTATTGAGAGCTTCGTTTCAACTTAAAGACGTTTAGTTTGAATCAATCTAAAAGAGTATCTCTATCCTTTGGGTATCATCGTTTTTTATACTTATTGTAATAAAGGGATGGTCTTTTGTTCTGAAATGAGAATACATGAACGGCCAGATCCAGAGCTGATGAGGGAAGGGTAGGAAAAGGATTACTTAATATTGAGAGTTGTGTTTCATCTTAAAGTGTCTTCTGTAGGAACCTGAACCTAAAAGAACATCTGTATGCTTTGGGTTTCATTGTTTTTTATATTTGTTATAATAAAGTGATGGCCTTTTCTTTTGAAATACGACTCACTGTTCACTATGTGCTGATAAAAGTAGCATTGAAGATTTCCATGATGTCAAAGGTGCATCACTTGTTATTCTTCAGACACAGAGAATCGACTGATAATGCTTCAAAACATTTCCAGCCGACGATTCTTTTATCTGTACTATTACCAGTTGAAGCCACAATCCACACTTTTTCTTCTGCTGCTTTCCTTTTTTTCCTCCTCTCCCTTGCTCTCGTTCTCTCTGTTTTCACACCACAGTGTACAGCCTCACAGAGGGCATCTCCAGGTCAAAAGATAATGTCTTTTCAGTTTACAGGATGAAAGCCTTTTAAGTTGTAGAGCGCCCCTCCTCCCCACGTTTGCTCTTCACATCCTTCATTTGTGGTCTGTTGGGGGGAAGCGTGATGTGACACAATCCAGGGGCCAAGCCTCTGCCTGACAGGACGGGGCGAAGCCGTCGGCTCTCTCTCTCTTTCTCTCTCTCTCCCTCTCTCTCTCTCTCTCCCTCTCCTACTGTTTTTGCAGCAGGCCCATGGCATTGTCCTGACACATGTATACCACAGCGCTCCAATCTGTAAGTCATTAGAGCACTAGGCCGAAGCCTGTCAGCTGGAGCTCAGCCAGCGCTGCGGGGCGATCTGAGGCAGCATTTCCAGGAGCTCCCAGAGTCCAGCCGGCAAGTGGCCCAAAGTGGCCAGGCAGCGGTAGCCCACTGGCGAGGTGACAGTGAATTAATCTTCTGGGTTAGCTTCAGTGAGATCAAGATTCTCTTTATACAAGGGAGACCGCACCAAGACAAAAAGAGTGCATTTGTTTTCGGGTACATTTTGGAGATTAAAAGACAAAAGGGCTGAGACACAGAATGATTCTCATTGCCAACTTCTGATTGGTTCACTTGCCAACTATTTTAATCTAATATTAACCAGCTATGAGAGTTAGAAAGATATATTTGACCGGTTACATGTTGGTAGTGTTCATAGTTTGTACCTTCTTTTAAATGGTTTGGGCTAACTTTAAGAAAGTGTTTGACATTTTGGAGAATATGCTGAATTACTTTTTAGCCAAGAGCTTGCCAACGACATGTTTCTAAAATGTCTAAAACAAATACAATTTCAAGCAGTCAGTTAGCTTAGCTTTGTGTTGTTAAAACCGTCAGTACCAGTGTACCAAGCGTACCATCTACAGCAGTGGTTCTCAACTGGTGGGTCGCGGACCCGTTTCGAGTGGGTCGCGGATGTGTCAGTGAAGAAAAAAAAAATGAAAAAAAAAAATTGGAATTTTTTTTTTTTTTTGGGGGGGGAAATTCAAACTTTTATTTTGAAGGCCCGATTTTCTAACGCTGTGCATGCAGTCGGCGTTGGACTGGAAGTACCGGAGACCATAAACGGTTTTGAAAACTTCTGTCACGTAGTGATCATCTTCTCAATAAAATATCTTTGCTGATGTTTTTTCGAGTCTTCTGGCCAATCAGAATCAAGATGGTTGCCGGAAGTCCCCACGGAGAATAACTTTGCAGTAGAACTCTTCTTTATACATCCATGGGTACAACTTCAGATAAAAATGAACACATAATGAAATATGACCCCCGGTTTGATGATTGACAGGTCACAGAACAATGGGAGCTATCTACCCTTACCCACAATTTAAAGTAAGTCACACAGACTATCTCCTCTTTACTCTTCTCGCAGCAAGATGTCAGAACAAAGTGAAAAAAAAACAATGGCATAAAATATTATTAATATGTCGGGTAGTAATAGATGTATTTATTTTTCTTCTCAGAGTGTATCAGAATGCATAGTTTATGTTAGTATTTCAAAAAATCTCCTGGGGGAGAATCCCCCCTACCCCCCTGCTGGGGTTGGGTTTTCAGCATGTGGGCCTTTTTATATAGTTCAGCTTTGATTCCATCATCTCATTAAACCTTATCGAGCCGGAGGGGACGGCCCCAAGGAACGGACCAGGCACGGTACGCGCGCACACGGAACCGCAGAAGCCGGCAGAGCAGAACCCAACCTTTCTCGAGGGTTGCGGTCGTTGGGGAGCGGGCAAGGGATCAGACGGAACGACGGCACCTAACCCTGTATACCTGAAGTAAGACCTGCCTCAATTGGGTTTGGACCAAAATTAGAATATGCCCATGTGTAATTATGAAAATGTTATACTGTTCTTTTTGTCGTCGTTTTCTCGCCCCAAAGTGCGCTCTGGCTAAACGCAGCTAAACGGTGACTAGTAAGGACTGCGAGCGTAGTAGAGTTCGTTGCGCGCCCAGTTGTACCCTCCCAAAAAGTAAATGGCGTTAGTGGGGGGGCCACTCTGAACAAATGTTCGGTTTTGCCCTAAGTTGAGTAAACAGACTCCTAGTGCGGGTGAGGACTACTCACACACTAAACTGAACCTCTCTGTGAAAGGTCCTGACTTTTCCCCGTTCAAGAACATCTAGAGTTGTCAACGAAACCGGCGTGCCACTATACCCGAAGGGATGCTGCCACACAAACTATTAGTATTCAACCAGTCTTACATAGGTAAGTCGTCTGACTGATGGATCGGTCGATTAAGGATCAGGTTGGTACGAAAAAAACGAAATGACAGGGTCCCGTCCAGGACCCATATACGTTCATGGGTTGGAGCGACAAATTATATATACGTAATCAAATAACCAAAGCATAAACTGATTTGGATTTAAGTAGTTTGAAGTCACTATCGTTGGCGCTACACGATGCGATCAGGTGGTCATAATGTTGACCTTTTAGTGTAAAATGGGCATTTCTTACAGTGTATGACAAATATAGCACCAATAGTTTGACCAAGTCCCGGAGGCCCTGGGTGAAAAAATGACGCAGTTATGTAGCGCCCCTGGGTTGTAAAACTTTCGTGAGTTAATAAGTTGGTTTTTTGTACGAGCACGATATATATGGAAAAGTCGTATGTATAATTTATGTTCACCTTCATCGTCAAGTACATAGGGAAATATAGGAAGAGTCTTGATTTCATA